CGGTGCGTGCCGAAGACCACTTAGCGGAGATCTGTGCTGACCCTCAGGATAACAGCTGACCACGCGTCCTGCACAAATCATGTCTTTGGAAGGGCAAGAGTTCCCGAGGACTAGCGGCTAGAACGCGGAATTTCGGATAGAAATAAATCAATCAGATTCTACAACTCTTCCTCGATTCCCCGGTTCCGTCTTACGGATGATGCCGTCAGTCATTGGTTATCGGGCTAGCTGGAAGACTTTTCTCAATCGCATATGAAAGAAAATTATTAATTTTTCCCTTCCAAATCGGCTTGGATTTCGATCAAGGAAAATACTGCGATCGGTGAAGGGAACCTGTGGTTTGTCACAACACGCTCCCGCGAATTTCGTTGACGATTCTGAGCTCGGGTGCTGTTCCTGCCTTCAGATGAAATGTCGAATGCGTCTCTTTTCGCTGTCCCTTGCATCTGTTCTGTAAGCGAGTCCGTTCAATGTCACTGAAGCGTATTGCGTGCTTTCGCTCAAAGATTCCTTTTCTTCGTGTTCCCCTCTCTCCTCTCTTTCCTCTCTCTCTCTCTCCGGAAGAATACAAAGCCTCACAGCTTAGCCTCCAGCAACAACGTACACGGCTCAAACAATGTTTGGACCCCGTGTGCCCAGCGACCTCGCAAAAACGTCTATGGGATCGTCTGTGCACTAGAACTACAGTTTCGGTTCCCTCAGCCGACGCAGCCATTCGGAGCTCCTCCCGTCCTCCTAACGGGAAAAGTCATTCCACAGGACGTTTCCCAACGCCACCGTCCCCTTCCGGACCGAGTCCTTTCCGAGAGAATTTCTGCGGAAAGTTCGGAGGCGTGAAGCGACTTCATCTTAGAATTCAACGAGTGTCGGCAACGCTATAATTGAACGCGGCGGCCGCTGGGTGAGCGGACCTGGCAAGCAGAAGCTGCCGTATGAGAGCGTGTTCCGTGTGCCGACGTAGTTGCCGAACTTGTTAATGGATTCTGACGGCTGCGGTTGTTCTTAATGGACTCCTTGCGGTTGGCAACCGTACGACATGTCGACGATCTCAGCGACAGGTCCGCCTCAATCCTGCGGTCAACGAAAAGCCAGATCGAGGTCGATCAAGAATTATCGCAGCTCACGGTAGTGATTCACCGTCGTCCTTTCACAACGTGATTCGATCAGCTGACAGACGAGGAATTTCAGTAAGGTCGCCGCAAGAAGAACACTTCGATCGATCAATTCGGCGATGCCCTCGGAGAAACTCAGGCTAATCCGTGCCTCAGCCTGTACGTGAGTCAGTCTGATTGGGAGTCTTCTCCCGTCTCTTCTGGAGCCGCGAGAACTTAGAGCGAACACATTGCAGAAAACAGAAAACGAGAGATCCAGCGGAGACGAGTTGCTTTTCCTTAATTTCATTTCTCTCCCAGTATGTCGTCCCATGGAGCTCTAATCTCGCGACTCAAGTCCTCCGCGAGACGGTGCACTATAACGATGACTTCGTTCCGCTTGGTGCGTAGAGGGAGATAACTCGTTTCTTGTGCCCTCAACCCTCTCAATGTCCTCTAGTTTTTCCCGCTTCCGCCTCGTTTGCCACTAGTTATTTCTTGCCCCGCTCTTCCTGTTCCCTCGTCAGACCCGAGGAGAGTACACAGTTGGCTGCATGCCGATTCTTCCGGAACGAGATTCTTAGCGCCATGTTTCATTCTCCTGATTCAAACCTCCGAGTCTCCGGCTCTAATCCGCCGGAATGTCCCTCGAACGAGCGCGATGCTTGTGGATTCACTGGGCGGAGCTTCCGACATTTAATCCCCTCAGGTGATTCTGAGGAACGAGGAGGACCTTTTGTTAATTAGGATCTCTCCTGGATTTTTCTTGGTTTCCTTGCTCGCTTTTCCGCTCGGTTGGCGCCGAGCGTGATCATCGGCGTTGCTTTCCAAAATAGTTTCATGCTCTAAGCCGATTAGTTGAAGTTTTCCCCCGCAGATGATCGCACATAAGCCCGTCACGTTCAAACGTCCCGTCGCCTCGAGACGGGCTTATGTGCATTAGGTTGTAGGATTTTCACCACAAAAAGTCACCACAGGTTGCTGCGATGTCCATCGAGCTCTTTATCCTCGCTCCCGCGGTTCGTGCGTCGAACGTTTAATACAATCAAAGCGCCGAAAATTAAAATTCCGCGCGAGGGTTTCCGATCCGTAAAACCGGCCGCGACTCGACCTGTCACCTTGTGGCAAACATTCGTTCATCGAACAATTCAGGAGGAGTTGCTTGTAGCATCGGGATCCGGGAGCTTCCCCGTTCCGATCGGCCGACTGCCTGATGACGAGTCCGCGAATTGAAAGAAGTCGTTCAAGGAATCTCTCCTCTTCCCACAACAGAGGAGCCCTCGGATCATTGGACAGTGAAGATTTCCGGGAATTCCCTCGAGAACCGTCAGAGCATCCAGTCGAGGGTACGACGATGGCTTTGGTGAGGAAAGGGCGAGGGGGGGGAGAACCC